GTTGAGAGCTTTATACGATTGGAATTTCACCGTGAATGGGAAAGAAAGAGTTACAAATGCTAAACATATGTTATGTACTTTACTCTAATATTTCCCATTTTCACTCAGGTTCCTTTTTTCTTTGCCCATTTATGGGAAGATTGCTTGGTATTTTTTATTAGAAACTCAAGTTTGGTTTTGCCAATAAACTTTAATTCATAATTTTGATCTAGCATCTGAGCAATATTTGTATTTTGTGGAGGCTTACACAATGTAACACAAGAATTTGGCTTTGAGGTGTGAAGGGTTGAATACGCATTCCCACTTTAAGAAAGGTAATTTGGAGGTAATCTTATGGCGTAAAGAGGATGGATACGCATCCCCGCCTTAAGAAAGGTAATTTAAAGGTAATCTTATGGCGTAAAGAGGATGGATACGCATCCCCGCCTTAAGAAAGGTAATTTTGAGGTAATCTTATTGGCGTAAAGAGGATGGATACGCACTCCCCGCCTTAAGAAAGGTAATTTAGAGGTAATCTTCTTTTTTTTTTGATAACCGAGAAATTCATCTGTGACCCGCCCTTTGGACCAATCCCAGCCTTCTAAACTCAGTGGATAATGGGGCCCGCCCCTCTACCCTTCTCCACTTAAATACCGGGCTTCGCTTTGCATGGTGTGGGGCTTGAACCTGTGACCTAAGCCACAAATCCTCCACCTTTTTCCACTTGAGCTAGGCCTTGGGGGCAATTTAGAGGTAATCTTATGGCGCAAAGAGGATGAATACGCATCCCTGCCTTAAGGAAGATAATTTTATGGTATCCTTAAGGTGTAAACAGGATGGATACGCATACCCACCTTAAGGAAGATAATTTTATGGTATCCTTAAGGTGTAAAGAAGATGGATACGCATCTCCGCTTTAAGGAAGGTAATCTAGAGGTAATCTTATGGCGTACAGAGGATGGATACGCATCCCGCCTTAAGAATGACAAAGAGCTTACTTGACAACAACCCCTTTTTGCTTTGTATGACTAAGTTTTGTCACTAACGACCTTTTTTATTCCTCGCAGTTGGAAGAAATGACGATTTCAAACAATACATCTCTCCCTCCACCAAACTTAGGCATCTTCTAGTTGAGACTGAAGAAGGGAGAGAGCAAACCCAGTTTTTGACTCATACTCCACTAGTAGATCGATATGCAAGTCCGTGGCCTGTTTTGAAAATTCATTCCATATGGCGAATTGGACTTAGGTTCACACCCATAGTTCCAATAAACTACTCAAGTTGCGGTCCCTTCAAGCGCCAGATCATCATCATGCTAATATTGCAACTCCCCTTCCAAGTTTAGGCTGTCACATAATTCAAGGTGTAATTTATTCTCAGTTGTTGTTGGTGGAAGGTGGAAGGTGGTAGGTGGTAGGTATATATTTTTTGTGCGCTTAGGCTGCACCGGACACCATGGCTATAAAAAAAGAGCCCAGCTGAATTTCAAGCATTTCTCATGTGCTGGACCAATAATTATAGAAAGTGCATTTCCTAAATTCCAACTCAGTTCATAAAAAAAACAAAATTCCTATAATTTTTTTTAATCCCATAAAAAAAGATTAGATATTTAAAGAAAACCCCAGTTCAATTTCAGCCATTTCTAATACATGGACCAAAAACTATACAAATTTCATCCAACCAAAAAGGAAAGACGAGTAAAAAGTACCTGCCCTGAGGCCAGATGCAGCAGCTTTTTGAAGACCCTTTTTCTTGATGATAAAACTGGACCCAATAAACAAACTAGAAGAAATAGCCAAGCAAAGACCATTAACATTATCAGAGGAGATTTGTTGAGGGTCCCCAAAGCTACCGGGCTGCTGTGAACTCCCCATATAGTTTTCTTCTTCTTCTTCAATAACCGAAAAGCTTCATTAACACAGAAACTCTCTTTTGCCATTCCATCAGAAACCCATTTTCCCAGGCACAATTCACCCTCAATTCTTAACACAATTAAACTCGAAACCCCCAAATATGATAAAAAAATAATAATAATTATACAGTGTCAGTGGTTGATTCTAGGGTAATTTTCAGAGAAACAAAGTGTGGAATGAATTGATCTGTGGACGGACGGAGGGATTAAAGTGAAGAAGACGACAAGAGTCTTTGTTTTTTGTTTCTTCTTTGATCGGAGATTCAGCAGAGAGAGGAGACACAGAGATCGATCTTCCTTTTGGCTTTTGTTATGCCAAATATAATTCAAATAACATGCAAATATTGTAATATTATATTTGAAGTGCACCTTTATTTTATTTCTTTTTTTCAAGTTTTGTTTGTACTTCCTTTCTTGAGAAAATTATTTCAAACTATTTTATGATTGTTTTATAATGTATCGTATTAAATTAATAAATATAATATTTGAATAAATGGTATGTTAATCAACTGATGAGAAGTATCAATGGGGTGAAGTTGAGATGGAGTTTGTCTCTTAACTTTTAATTTGACAATTATTTAAGTTTTAATACAATGAAATTATTTATTCAACGCGGAGTATCATTTTTAAACAAAAAGAGAGAGTGGTCTAGTATTTGCACCACTAGATACTAATCGAGTTGTGTTTTAATTAATAAGTAGTTGACGATAGTTTATGTATAAATTAATCACACATTTCCTAGTTCAAAAATGATATTCACAAAAATGTCATATCTTAAATGTGTTTGCTCATTCACTCTAAAAATTATACTTATTAAATATTTGAACTCAAGTCAAATTGTATCTATTGAACACATAGGCAGACCCATATGCGCCGTGAGGATGCACGTGCACCCAACAACTTTTAAATCCTGTTCATACAATATTTTTAACAGAAAAATAATTAATAGAAAAAACAAATAATGCTCTTGTTGAGAGTCGAACTCAAGTGCAATATTTTTAACAGAAAAATAATTAATAAAAAAAAACAAATAATGCTCTTGTTGAGAGTCGAACTCAAGACCTCCCGCTTACTAAACGGGTGCTCTAACCAACTGAGCTACAAGAGCTTTTGCACATTTTGGTTAACTAATCTTATTTATAAATTTAAGCTATTTAAAGTTAGTAACAATTAAGAAGATTGTTAGAAAACAAAACAAATAAAGATTTAAATCACATAATTTCGATAATTAGAATAGCGATGTGATGTTTTTAAAATATTTCATTATATATCTGGAGTCAACCAAACAACAGGTTAACAACTTGAGTTTTTAAGAAGATAACAAGAAAAAAATTAGTATCATTGAAAAGAATAGGAAAATAGTAAAAATAAATTGGCAAAAGACGGAACATATTCAAAGAGCAAAAGAAGGGACAACAATAATTATATAACTAAGCAAGGAATATTAAGGGAAACAAAATACTAAAAGGAAAGACATATATTAGCAGTTTTTATTGATTAAAAATTGGAGCTTAAAATATTTAAAAAAATTGAATAATATAAATGCAAATGAAATTACATAAATTGGTAGATTGATAGATGTTTCAAATGTTAAATGTTACTTTAATTGATCTAAAACAAAATTATTCAATAGAAATTATTAGGCCCATGCATAACACATACATAATGTCTAGTAGACTGAGAAAATGTTACATATATTAAAATTAATGAGGACAATATATCAATAAATTCTTAAATTATAAAGTAGAATTAATAATGCAATTTTATTATGGTAATTGATGATAATGATTGTTATAGGAGAGGAGTGGCGACAACAATAATTGTCAGTAATTGTAGGATGATAACAAATATATTTGGTGATAGTAGCGGGAGATGATTATTATCGTGTTGATCATTCAATAATGATGATTGATAATGAAATTTTTGTGATCGTAACATATAGCAATGATGCTAGTAAACATGTTAGTTGTTAGTAATAGTAATAATATTAATGGCGGTATAATTTATTGTGATGATAGCAAAAATGGTGGAAAAAATGTGTTATAATAACAACAATGATAATTTTGATATCTTCTAATAACTTCTTCATAATATATAACATTATATCAAGTATTTAAAGAATTTAAATTTATTTAGATTCATTAAGTGACTGTAACTAAAAAAGAGAACACTTAATACTATGAAATCTAAATTATTAGTAAATTTTAAACTTCCATTTTATGAGCTTACTATGTCAGCCAGCACACAATGATTAATCAAGTTGGTGAGTTATGACTTCCTAATTTAACTATAATGTATAATCAAATAATTTTGTAAAAGAAAATAATTCAAAAAAAAATAAATTGTTCGTCCAAATTTATTAAAGATAAATGGAACAATCTTTTGGTAGATGTTTGGATGTGAATTGCGTTGATATTTTAAAAAGTATTACTCGATAGAATTTTAATTGAAAAACAATATTCTTTCATCTCAATTTGTTTGTTTTATGTCCTTTTTAATTATTTAAATAAAAAATAATTCTTCCCTTTTTTGATAATACTTTAATTTCAATTTTTAATATAATATTTTTAAGAATAGAAACATATCTTTATTTTTAAACTAAAAAAATATTTTTAAAAGAAAAATTACTTGTTGTGTAAAAGTCTTGTCATGTTAAAACTGGACAAACAAATCAAAGCTAGCGTTTGACCCCAAGTTCTAAAATATTCTTGGCAAATCATATTTGAGTGAAGTTTTTGGTGAAGATTTACCATGTGTTTGGCCCCAAAATTTCTCAAAAATATTTGACTATTTCAAAATAATGATTTATACCCATAAGTTCTAAAAATTATTTAAAATACCCGTATATTTATATTATAATTTTATAATGAATATATTCCGTTAAAAATAATCTTACAATATAATTGATAACAATCAACAATAACAAAATAACAATATAGGCAAGACAATACATTAATCACATACTCAAACTTGTCACCGATTCAGTTATAATATTAACCCATTAAACACAAATTGTTCTTTTTCCTCAATTTTTATCACTCAAATTAAAACTCAATTTTTTTCTAGTATGTGAACTTAGAATTTATATAACCAAACATCACTTCCAAAGTTTTTCCCAAGTATTTTCGGGGCCAGGTTGGAAATAGTGAAATGGATGAGTATTTGTAAAGACCAAACCATTGTTTTTAGTACTATAACTATAACTGAAAATAAGAAGCAGCAGTTGAAATTTTTTATTTGGGATTTTGTTGGATGAAGTGATAGTTTTGACTTTTGAGGTTGAAAATGCGTTTGACAATGTCTTCTTCTTCAGCTCTTCCTCTTCCTCTTCCTTCAACTTTCTCACAATCTCCATCTTTGAGCTTAACCCATCTCCCAAATTACTCTTCTCTACCCCTCACAGACCAACAATGCACTCTTGCAGACTCAAAACCCAGAACAATTCGCTTTCGTTTAAGCGAATTATGCAGACAAGGCCAACCCCATCTCGCCCGCCAACTGTTCGATACAATTCCTCAACCATCAACTGTCCTTTGGAACACAATTATCATTGGGTTTGTCTGTAATAACATGCCCCATGAAGCCATTTCATTCTATTCTCGATTGAAACATGTGGGTTCATCCGTATGTGATCAATATAGTTATTCCTCTGTTCTCAAGGCTTGCGCGGAGACCAAACGGATTCTTGAAGGTAAAGCTGTGCATTGCCACATTCTGCGTTCTGGGATTCATCCAAGTAGGATTGTTAGTAATTCTTTGTTGAATATGTACTCTGCTACTTGTTTTACATTGGATAATGGTTCTGATTGTGATTTAGTTGAAAGGGTGTTTAGAACTATGCGTAAAAGAAATGTTGTTGGGTGGAATACTATTTTTTCATGGTATGTGAAAAGGAAGAGGTTTTCGGAAGCAGTGAGGTGTTTTGTTATGATGATGAGATTAGGTATTAAGCCAACTGTTGTTAGTTTTATTAATGTTTTTCCTGCTGTATCAGAAATAGGGGATGTTAGAGTTGCTGATGTTCTTTATGGGTTGCTTGTGAAATTGGGTAATGCATATGTAAATGACTTGTTTGTTGTTAGTGCTGCCATTGTTATGTATGCTGAGCTTGCTTGCGTTGATCTGGCGACCAGAATATTTGAGAATACTTGTGAAAGAAATACAGAGATCTGGAACTCTATGATTAGCGGGTACATTCAGAACAATTTTCCTTTGAAAGCTGTTGATCTCTTTCTTGAAGCTGTAGAAGCAGAGGATGCTGTTACTACTGATGATGTGACATTTGTATCTGCTCTTATGGCAACTTCACAGTTGCAGCATTTGGAGTTTGCCCAACAGCTACATGCATGTCTGATAAAGAAATGCAGGGATTCACAGGTTATTTCGCTTAATGCTATGATAGCCACATATTCTAGGTGTAACCGTGTGGGCGATTCATTTAAAGTTTTTAATGGAATGAAGGAAAGAGATATAGTGTCATGGAACACCATGGTGTCTGCTTTGGTACAGAACGGACTGGATGATGAGGCTTTGATGCTTGTATATGAGATGCAAAAGCTTGGGGTTGCAATTGATGATATAACAATTACCATCCTGCTTTCTGCGGCATCAAATCTTAGGGACAGGGAAATTGGTAAACAGACCCATGCTTACCTTCTGAGGCACAATATTCAATTTGAAGGGATGGAGAGTTACCTGATAGACATGTATGCCAAATCTAATATGATTAGAGAAGCACAAGTAATATTCCAGTCGAACTTCACAAATGATAAAGATCAAGCCACGTGGAATGCTATGATTGCTGGAAACACTCAAAATGGATTAATTGAACAATCCTTTGTTGTCTTCAGGGAGATGCTAGAGCAGAATGTGAAGCCAAATGCTGTGACCTTAGCATCAATACTCCCATCATGCAGCCAGTCAGGAAGTATAGCAATAGGCAAGCAGCTACATTGTTTTGCGATTCGCAATTTGATTGAGAACAATGTTTATGTTATTTCTGCTTTGGTAGACATGTATTCAAAATCAGGAATCATTGATTATGCTGAAAGTGTTTTTCTAAAATCTCCTGAGAAGAACTCTGTGACATATACAAATATGATTTTGGGATATGGCCAGCATGGGATGGGTAGGAAAGCTCTAACACTGTTCTACTCTTTGCGGCAGAATGGTTTAGAACCAGATGCTGTTACCTTTGTAGCAGTCCTGTCTGCTTGCAGCTACACCGGATTGGTTGATGAAGGCCTTCAAATATTTGAGCTGATGGGCAAAGAATACGGGATTCAGCCGTCGGCAGAGCACTATGCTTGTGTGGTTGACATGTTAGGAAGAGTTGGACGGTTGGATGAAGCTCATAATTTTGCTAAACAGTTGGGTGTTGAGGGTAATGTCTTGGGAATATGGGGATCACTCCTTGCAGCCTGCAGAGTACATAGAAATTTTGAATTGGGGAAAATTGTTTCCAGTAAGCTGCTTGAATTAGAGGGGAGTGATGAAATTTCTGGTTATCATGTTCTGCTCTCAAATATATATGCAGAGGAAGGAAACTGGCAGTCTGTCGATAATGTCAGAAGAGGAATGCGCAAAATGGGATTGTCAAAGGAGGTTGGGTGTAGTTGGATTGATACTTCTGGATATCCACACTGTTTTGTATCTAAAGATAAGAAGCATCCTCAGTACTGCATGATAAATGATATGTTGGGATATTTAACCATCAATATGAAGGATGCTGGCTATAAGCCTAAACTTGAACTAATAGAAGAGTGGGTCTATGGGCCAGAAGAATAAAAAACTATTAGTTCTCCCACTATGTTGTTGTTCTCCCACTATGTACCTTTGTACTCATGACATTTTTGGACAGGATTTTGCTAGAGTTAATATGATCGTAGTTTATCAATGACCAGCTGCCTTTGAAATTCGAGGTAATTAAGTTGTGCTTTAGCTTGTTTTAGTTTAGTTTTTTCTTCTGAATTATGATTTTTTACTTTGTAAAGATACTCAGAGGTAGGATATTCAGTAAGTGAAATGTATGCATATTTCTTTATTAATACAGAGCAATCAAGAATATCCATTTTACCTTTTTGGTGGGAAACGAGGAGTCCCAGATAGCAAAAGAAGGGTCTTATCCAAGATGACAACTTCTATCAAGCTGTCTGATTGACTGAAGCACATTTAAATTAGGTGACCAGTTCTTTCCTTTGAATAACTTATACTTGTTCTGCAGGTCAACTTTTAAACTATTGTATTAAGGATATTCTTTGATATAGTCTTTGCAAGTTCATGAGTGTTTTTATATTGGAGCCAAATGGCATTAATATCACTTGTGAAGGTTGAACCAGATAACTATTAATATGTCTGCTAAGGTTGGTTCAGCTAATTATAGTATGTGAATATCAATGGAACTGGCATAAGTGGAGTTTATCATTTGTGAAAATGGTTCTGAAGCTACAACAAATCATATAGATATGATAATCTCAGAAAATTTCCTTATTAGGCTGTCGGCTTAATTTATTGGACATTGACAAACAAAAGCTTTCTATAAATTAGGTCTAGTTCTAGTGATTAGTAGGAGGTTTTATTGAGTAAATATGCATATAGACTCTTGCCAACCAAATAAGTTCCAAGTCCATATTATCGTTACTTGGTTTATTAGGTTCCACATGCTTTCTTACAAGCTGTTTGGGTCAATTTAATGTGAATTATTGCTCTTCAGTTTTCACAAGGGACAGAGGGTTTAAACGGCCTCTTCTTTTGGAGTTTTCTCCTTTTGGATAAGGTAAATAGTTTTACTAAGAGTTAATGGTCAAAAACACATCCAAACTATCACTTTTTGCGAGTTTCATACCTCAACTATCATTGTTCGCTTTACCTACCTAAACTATCACCCCTGTTGTATTAAAACTCACCTTGGTGCTAGGTGGTTCATTTGTGAACATGCAGGGTATAGAATGGTTGTTTATTATCTGAAGATAATATGCTTAAGTGAGTGAGAAACTGATAAAGTCATATGGTACATTGATGTCGCTAGATCCTAACATTTGTAATTTCTAAGTCTCTCTGGATTATCAAAATGGTTTTCATCATCTTTCATAAGATGCACATTGTGAACTAGTAGAGTATTGCAGGGTTTGGCTGCCAATTTTCCAGTTTCTGCAAGTAGGTCAAGAATATAGTTTCTCTGAGATAGAAAAATTCCCTTCTTGCTTCTATTTACTTCTACTTCCAAAAAATATTTCAACCGGCTTAAGTCCAGACTTTAGGGAAGAGATCCTCTCACAATAAGAAGGATAGTGCCAGCTGCAGATAGTCGACCGAAAACAGAGTGATTACATTTGCTCATTTTCAGCCCACACGCTTGAACTACCTCACTGAACTTGTCAAACCAATCTCGCTGGTTGAAGCCATACAAAGACTTCTTCAAATGATAGACTTTCCTATACTCCCCCTAAGCAATAAAATCGGGTGGTTGTTCCATATACACTCCCTCTTAAAGATCACCATAAAGGAATACATTCTTGATATCTAACTGGTGTAAAGACCAGTTCTTGATAACAACTAGAGAAATGAACAAACGGACATAAATGAGTTTGGAAACCGGAGAAAAGGTGTCTGAATAGTACCCCATAAGTCTGAGCATATTCTTTAGCCACAAGCTTGGCCTTAAGTCTTGCCATGGAACCTTCTGGATTAACTTTAACTGTGAACACACACTTACATCCTACTGCTTTATTCCCATTGAATCTACCAAATTTCATGTGTGATTTTCCTCAGATGCATGTGTTTCCTCAAGCATCGCATTTGATCATCTAGGATGATTCAAAGCCTTCTTCACAGTTTTGTGTATAGAAACAGAGTCTAGAGAAGCACTCAAGGATCTAGATGTGGAAGATATGCGATCATAGGAAACAAAGTTAGCAATGGAATATTTGGATTGCAAGTCCGTGTACCTTTACGAAGTGCAATAGGGATGTCAAAATTTTCTAAAAGGATCAAGTAGGGAAGGATTTGATGACAAAGGAACTGGTGCTACACATGTATCATCGGCCTCTCGTCACCTCGAATAAACTTGAGCAATTGACGGTTTTGCTGGAACATGCGTCGAAGGTGCAACAGTTGTGTGGTGCTCAATAGAGTAACTAAGAGATGGAAAAATAACATCATCTGATTGCATAACATGAGTAACCTGATAAATTAACCACTCATCTTCCACCCCCTTACTTGTAGAACTGCGAGAGATATAGAAGAATAATGTAGTTTTTGAAAATATCACATCATTTGACACCAAATAGTTGCCAAGTTCAGTAGAATAACATTGATACCCCCTCTAAAGACAAGAATAACCCAAGAAAACACATTTCAATGCCTTAGGGTCCAACTTAGTAACAAACGGGAGTACCTCTCGAACATAACACTTACTTCCGAATACCTTTGGTTCCATTGGAAATAATGACTTGTTTAGAAAAAGAATAGTGTAAGGCAAATTACAAACAAGCACCGTGGATGACATGCAATTAATCAAAAAACAAGCTGTAGAGAGTGTATCAACCCAAACTTTTTAGGAACTTTCATTTGGAACATAAGTGCTCGGATTGTCTCAAGTAGATGCCCTATTCTTACTCTCATCAACTCCATTTTGAGAAGGTGTATCAACACATGACGATTGATGGAGAATATCGTGTTTTCTCAATAGGATTGAAATAAGTCTGACATATATTCTTTAGCATTATCACTCCTTAAAATACACATCAAAGTATTGAATTAAGTTTTTATTTCAACACAAAAGTGTGTAAACATTTCAAAGAGACTTTTCATGAAATAAATCCAAGTCATTCGATAGAAATTATCCACAAAAGTGACAAAATACTTATGTCCAGTTTTTGAATCAATGGGACGTGGTCCCCAAACATCATAATGAATTAGCGCAAAAGCTTACTCAATCGGTTTATTAACCCTTGGACGTAACGTGTTGCGATGATGTTTTGCAAATTGACATGATTCACATTTCAAAGAAGGAACATTTTGAAACAGGGGGCAGAGCTTCTTTAACAAAAGTAAAGAATGATTTCCCAATCGATAATGTGCTACAAATAAAACCATGACACTTGTGCAGACAACAAATCGAGGCTCATATTTATCAAGGATATATAGATCATCAAATATATATCCTTTACCAATAACCTTATGTGTGGCAAGATCACGAAACATGCATGATCGGGAAAGAATGAAATATAACAATTAAGATCTATAATAAGTTTACTCACAGAAATCAAATTGAAGGCCAACTTCGGCATTTTTTTTTTTGAAATAAGGGTAACTTTGTGTTCACAAAAAAAATCATCATCCAAGAAATGATGAATTGGAAACTTACATCCCATAGTATGATGGGCACACCCCTATGAAGGTAACTAAATTACAAGTTTCCTAAGAAATCAACTACTTCTACCACCTCCCCCACCAAATCTTGTTTACACCAAAGAAATAGAAGACTAATACAACTTGTTAATCCTTTAAAAAGTAATTTTTTTGTCCTTTAAAACACCTAGTATTTCGGTTACCAAAAAAAACACCTAGTATTTCTTTCCTTCCATATGGACCAATAGCTACATGTTGGGAAGAGCTTCCACCATTCTTCCTTTTTCCTCTGCTTCCAACTCTTAGCCAACTCTTCAGAAGCTTTAAAGTAGTCTTTGGCATCACCTAGCTAACCCTCCAAATGCATAAAACATATTCACAAATTGGCAGCTATTTGGCAATGTATGAGCAGATGGTTGTTCACTTCAGCTTCCTGTTCACACAAGCACCTTGAACAAATTTGCATGCCTCTTTTCTGTAGGGCCTCATGAGTAAGACATGTTTTTCTGATTAGTATCCAAACAAAACATGAGACTTTCAATGGACATTTCACCTTCAAAAACAGTTTCTAGGGCCGTCTCTCAATCAGTAGGACATTATAATTCATCTTCCAATAGCTTGATTTCACTATATAGATCCTTTTGTTGTGTATTTCCCATATTGGCTTATCAAACCTCTAAGAAGTACCTGGGAAATCATTAAGAACCCCTAATAGCTTGGCAATCTCCTCAATTTCACAATCATTCAATGCTCTCCTTCAAAGTAGATTCCAACCCTGTTTACTCCAGGCTTGTTCCACAGTGTCATTTTTCTGCATACTCAATGTATATAGAAGAGGTAATAGGTTTCTCAAACTGTCTTCCTCTATCTATATTTCATTCATGAACTCTGTCTTCAGTCCATCCCCAACACTAATACATATGCTGTTTTTGAAATGTGGCTATTGTCTTCTAATGGTCTTCCAAACACTGCATCTAAATGTGCCATAACCTCTTCAGTTGTCCACCGGTTAAATAAACCATACTTTCCTGATATAAATCTTCTCCATATGGCTCTATATTCTATGCAGAATCTCCATAGCCACTTTGGGAGTAAACTACTATTTTGGAGACTTAGGTTCTTCAATCTTAGCCTCCTTGGTTTTTGCTAAGTGTGAGAGTATCCCACTTCACCAAGTTGCAGCCTTCCTTTTCCTTGTTGCCTTGCCAAAGAAAAGATCTCCTGAGCCTATTTATATTCTTCTCAATGTTCTTGGGGACTGGAAATAAACTCATCATATAAGTAAATGATCCATCTAATACTGATTTGATGAGGGTCACCCTGCCACCCGTGGACAAATACTAGTTTTTTCATTGGGCTAGTTTCTTCTCACATCTCTCCAACACCACAATGCACACTTCCAGCTCTTTGCTCTTAGCACCCAAAGGTAGTTCCAGATATTTTGTTGGTTGTGCATCTACCTAGCAACTCAATGTCTCGGCTAGCCCAAGAAAATTGTCAACTAAGTTGATAGGGAGGAGATGACTCTTCAACCAATTGACATGGAGGCTTGAAATGCTCTACTAAATAGTGAGTATAGCACTTATGTGTCTAATTTGTGCCTCCTTTGCCTTACAGAACATAAGAGCATCATCAACATAGAAAAAGTGTGTGATCTCCAGCTCCTTCCCTGTCCCAGCAAGTGCACTAAATCCTCTCCCATCCATTAGTCTTTGCCTTCTGGAACATGTGAACCCTCCAGGGCTATTAAGAATAGGAATAGGGACATAGGATCTCCCTGTCTAAGACCTCTCTGAGATTGGAAGAATCCTTCAGTGTTTCCATTTATGAGGAGGGAAAACTTCACACTTGAAATGCAGTTATTGATCCAGCCAATCCACTTGCTACCAAATCCCATGTCCTTTAGAATTTTTAGAAGGAAATTCCAGTTAACATGGTCATAGGTTTTATCAATGTCTAGCTTGCATAGAATCCTCAGTTTCTTCTGCTTTACCATGGAGTTGACCAATTCATTAGCCAACAATGTTGCATCCATTATTTGCCTACATCTCAAAAAAGCCATTTGGTGTTCATCAACCAATTTCACTATCACTGTCTTCATTCTCTCAGTTAGCAACTTGGAGATGATTTTATAGACTACTCCTATCAAACTGATTGGTCTGAAGTCTTTTAGCTCAATTGCATCAGGTTTCTTTGGGATTAAAGCGATGAATGTAACATTAAATGATTTCTCAAATGCACTCCTCTGATGGAAATTTTGTATACTCAACATTAAAGCCCTCTTTCAAAATATCCCAACATTTCTTAAAGAAATCCATAGTGAAGTCATCAGGGACATGTGCTTTGTCCCTATCACACTGGTTGATGATCAGTAGCACTTCCTCATCTGTAAATGGTCTTTGTAACCTTTCATTTTCATCTACAGAGACTGTTGGATATCCTACAAAATCAAAAGAGGGTCTCTAGGATTCAAGTTCTGAGTAGAGTCTGGCATTTAATACAGATGATAGGGTAATAGAGGAAGTTGCTTTAATGGTTCCAAATCCCACAATGTTATGTGTTGAGCCATCAACTACCATTACTTGAGAGGGTGCTTTGTGTAGTCGAAAGGTAGAAAATATATTCGGATTACGTGTCATGTGATTGTGTCATGTGATTTGTAGTACCTGAATCAATCGCCCAGCTGTTCAAAGAGGAGACCGCATATGCTTTTCTTGAATCAACAAGGGTAGTAGTTGAAATGAATTCTTTAAAGGATTATCGATACTAAGAGGACTCCGCAAACTCATTCGCCGAAACCAAAATTGTCTTACCCTCATAATTTATAGCCATATTTACTCCTTTCTAATTGTTTGAGTTATAGTTTCCAACATAAAATACCCAAAATATCAATATATGAGAAGCCAACAAACACAAACAATACCAACAAATACAATCCAGTACTGAAAAAGCAATTCTTTAATATCAAGACATGCAAAATTTTATGGGATTAAATCCATACAAAATTTGAACGAAGTTATAAATTCACGACATTGACCCAAGTCAATATTTTGGGTTAATAAAGTCGGATTAATTATTTAAGTCAAGATTGCATGACTTAAGTCAAATCCAACTACATTGGGCTAGGTTGGGCCTCTACAAAATGGTCCCCCCACTTGTTTTAAGCCCAAGGGTCCATTATGATTACTTGGAGGCTACCCTAAAACCTTCATCAATGCCTATATAAAATAAAGGGGCTACATTTCTCTTTGGAAGCATTTTGGAAATTCTATAACATCTTTGAAGATTCTAAGATGGAATTGGACAAAGACAAGAGAGTGTTCGACTGGAACAACGGCCAACAAAGACTAATTACATAGATAACTACTCCTCCCTTCTCCTTAAGGCGTTAAGGCGAACTGTGTAGAGGTAGGAAAGAAAGACGTCCTCACCTTCTTTGGTATCAGTGAGAGCAATTTGAGTATCCCTCGTGCACCTTCTTTTGTAGATAGAATCCTTAATGAGTGGAAATAAGCAACCTTACTAAGAAAGGTGCTTGTTGAGTAAGGACGACTTTCAGGCCAACCCTTGGTATAGGTTGGGCACTTGAGCGCATGATTGGTCCATTGAATATTGTATAGGCCCCTAAGCCTCTCGAGCGCAGGGATGCACACATCTTATATATCATGATCATGTCAATGCAATCAACACGCCAAATTTCATTTATTTGTTCTATTAAGTACTTCTTTCACGCCATTAGCTTTGAAATTGTCTCCCTTTGCCAGTTCACCTCGATGAAATACTTAAGAATAGCCTAGCTTTAGAAGGTCATTAATAATATTTGATTCCAAGAAATTAGCAACCAATTCTCCCAACAAAATAATTGTAGTCGAAGTCAAATATCAAATTAATTTGACATAAGGATCAAGCATCCACAAAACACTATTAATTCAATATTGAGCAAAACTAAACAAATCGTGACAACACCAAATAGAAACCAGATCTAAATCACAAAAGCTTCAGGGAAAATATGAGCTTGGAAGTAGTTTTCAGAAAACAATATGAACCTAGAAGTGACGAAGAGTTACCCAAACAGTGTTTCAACACTAAACAAAACTCAGGGTACGTCGAAACTGATAAGACGACACCGGATGTTCAATCTTTGAAAGATTTTGATGGAGCACGCGCCTCCACACGTCGACGCGTGACTGACAAATGAGAGATGTAGCTGGTGCGTGGTGGAAATTGATCACTTTGAAAGTGATCGAAAGGATGATCTGCCTCCTCCCACAGTGGCGGTGACACAAATTGACCACTTTGAAAGTGATTGATTTGAAATTTGACTCTGTTTCTGTAAGACAACAAAACAAGATCGAGTTGCCTCAAAACATAGCCAAAACAAGATCAAGGAACCTATAGGCTCTGATACCATTGAATGGAAGTTGATGATCTTATTCCAATAAGTAAGCAAGATATAAATATAATACATTAGGTGCTAACTTAGGAAAGAAAATAAAGAGGGAATCCTACAAATCTGCTAGCTAATTTTTTTTTGTTGATTGTAGCGTTCGGGCCAACTTTCGCGCACCTTGACTAATTATAAGAGATTTCAACAAATTTACTAGCTAATTATGCCTATGTACATTACTAAGAATGATGTCTATATACATTTTGTAACAATTAGTCCTTTTGACCACATTTATATGAGGTAGTTTGACTTGATACGCAGTCAAAGAAAGAAAGAAAGACTTTTGAAAATTGTGGCTAAATTAAGTCATAAATGTTTGTGTGACTATAGATCATCTCATTAAGGATAAAATGAACATTTTAAAGTTAATTTTTTTACTAAAAATAGAACTGTGTCATTCCTTTTGGGACTAACTAAAATGGAAAGTAAATTATATAAACTGGGATAGAAGAGTATATATATGTGTGTGATTCCTTTTTGGCTGAATGATTGTTTTCGTAGGTGATAAAGCTTATAATTGTAGATTGATTTACTCAGAAGTTTGCTTTTACTGTGCTTTGTGATCATCAGGTTCTGCTTGTTGTGCTGACGTTTTCTGGTACTCTTCTTTAATATGCTTTAGTTTAGGAAAGTTAATTTTTAGAGATATGATAGTTCTTTGAAGGGAAAAAGTAAGATCTTTCATGGCTTTCTCTTTTAGATTTTTTGTCATGGTTCTGTAAAACTTTCCTTTTTCGATCTGCTTTGATATGCTTTTCCTTGAGTTGAGGGTCAATCAAAAAATCTTATTTTAGATGCACAATATTTATGGTAGTTTTTGGTCATATATTAACACTCATCCGTTTTATGAATCCTCTTCAAGAGCTTACTTTTTTCATGTTTGAGCCTTTCCTTGTAGATCTAAAAGAAAATGAACACCAATCAAACATGCAACAACTCCTTCTGGACTAAGGAGGAGGATAAACTCTTTGAGAATACTGTTGCGATCAACAAGGATAACAACAATCTATTAGAGGAAATGGAAGAAGCACTTCCTGGGAAATCGGCTGGTGAAGATATATTAATTGAAGATATCAATGTCATCGAGTCTGGATATGTCCCATTACCTAATCATCCTGAAATGCAAAACCAGAATTCAAAAGCAGATGCAGAATGGCGAAAAGGGGCTTCTTGGACAGAACAGGAACACATGTCAGTTTCTAGTACAGTTCTTGATGACGACATGAATAATCTGAATTGAAGTTTAAATCATTTCTTGTAATTGATTGCACGATTTACATTTTTACTAAAACGGAATTTCCAATATTCTTATTTCTCACTGACCATCTTGGTGTGCTTCTAAACATCTCATATATTATTATGTTTCTAGGTGGATAGAGTACATCTTCGTATATGTCATAGGTGTATTTGGTCTTCATAAAAGCTTCAGTTCTGGAGATATTTTGTGTAACTTGTAGCTAAGACAAACGGTGCTTACACGTATTTCATCTAATTGAATATCACGTGAAGAGTCCCTTTTATGCTGTCCTGCGATCTTGTTTCCTGGATTAACTTCAAAGCTGATAATAACTTATTTCTCTATCTTTCCTGCTATAGGTCATTTCTCCGGGGCATAGAAATAAATGATAAAGGTGACTGGAGAAGTATATCTAGGCACTGTGTGATAACAAGAACAGCAAAGCAGGAGGATGCTGAAGCCACAGGAACTTCCCAAGTTCCACACACCGAGTATATTATTGGGTCTGCTTACGGAGGATCACAAGCAGTGCCAAACACTAGCAATGAGAGCATGTTGCCTCGAGAAAGCACCAATGCGGAGCAGATGATAGAAGTTGTTGGAGGAGAGTCCACAGACCATAATGCTGTTGTCAATGTTGGGTCTGATGTGAATGTTGATGCTGGAAGTTCCCTATTACCCAGCAAACAATCATGTACTGCTGCTAGCAGTGGAACTTACGGTCATCCTATCTCTAGAATTGGGAGTGAACTTGAAGCACTGCTCACTGAACCCATGGATGAAGATAATGATATTACTACCATTTTTGATGTTGGGAAAGCACCAACTTCTTATCCTGTGCTGTTCGATGCTACTTTAAGCGGAGTCCCCCGCTATTCAGCTGCAGAGGCGGCTCTTGCTCAGTTACCTCCCTTTGATGATGAAGGCATTTTTGATCCGGATGACCTGTTCACAGATCCGATGTTCTGATTTGGTGGAGGAGAGGCACTTTTTTTTTTTTTTTTTGAAGACATGCCATTATGTTAGTCAGTATTGCTCTTCTTTATCTATTCTTAATCTGCTTTAGGGAGCAAGATTTTGTGTATCTTCAAACTCTTTTGAGAGACTAGGTGGATTTTGGTTGAAAATTTTCAAAAGAAAATGGTAGCAATTTGATTTCTTGCAAGCTCTTTGTTTATGTAGTTTGTTGGTTTATCTTTTTGCCAAAACCTCTTACAAGCTAATGGTTCAGACTAGAATCAAATGCTACTAAGCTAAGTGTATTTCTGTATTCTTATGGCTACCTGATCATAAAACATATCTAATGTTATGAGGAGCCCACCACCAGCGGGGTGGGACGAGGGTGGGGTGTCTGGACCGTTGTGATTGTTTAATCGATCAAATGATCAAACTGCTTCTTAATGTATGGGGTGGGACTATTTTAGTCTTTCATAAATACCACTTAACCAGTATAGACCTTAATGTATAGAAAAAAGTGATCTTTTTCCTTCTGCCACCAGTGTGTGCCTGCAACAATGGAGTGTACATTTTTATTGCTTTCCTTATCACGTAGTTTTGTTCTTGCAGCAAGACTCCCAGTTGGTTTAAAGTTTCGAAGGCAGCCATATATTAATTATTGGTGCAAGAGTTTCCATCAAAGGTAGAAAAAAATTGCTCTTTCTTCTCATCATATCAGATTTGGTTTTCGTCTAAGTTGACCTCATTTAGAGAAAGCTTTCTCAAAGGACCGCAGTTGATGAGTTAACCAAGCTTGAAAGTTGCAACCATGTTTAGAGAGAATACTAATATATAATCTTGTCTCTTTAAAACTAATATATATGAGTATTTTGTAAATGAGGCATTCAGGTAATATGTCTCCTTGTGGTCACATAATTCTTCTTATTAATGTGCAAACAGCCAAACATACCTTAAATACCTGATTTTGTAGTTTGATTTTGCTGCAAAACTTGATAATCAGCTCTTTGTCACGCTTCTGCAATTTCCATCCAGCATTCTTTCCTTATGATGCTGAGTAAATTTAGTCCTCAATCATCGAAAGGAAACATCAGGTGCACAGGTACCACATAGTGTTACGAAAACTGGTGTACCCTTAGGCCTTAGCGCTTATACTAAGCTCAAGTATTATACTAAATGCAACAACATATTGAGGACAACACTCATTTCATAAAGGTGTGCTTATACTAAAGAGCTATGGCTCAAATATTACAACTTCTTCTTGTCTCTTAATGTTGTGGAATCGAATCCACTATATAGAGTCAACTGCTTGAGCAGTTTAGCCATTTTGAGCAATGTTTCTCAACAATGGTGAGATTCATTCTCTCAGCTACACCATTGTCTTTTCATGTCTGATCTCATTGCTTGAATATTACTGCTCAAATTCCATTGTCAGTGTAGAGACGCTTTAGCTTTCTACCTGTCTCCCTTTTCACCATAGCATGAAACTTCTGGAATACTTGAAACACCGGATGTTTGGTTTTCAAGATATAAACCCACAACTTTCGTGAAGTATAGTCTAAATTGACCTCATTTAGAGAAAACTTTCTCAAAGAACGTTATTCCTTTTTAAAATATTGTCACTTCATGATAACCATAAAGAGTGGACTGATTCAAGGATGACATTAATAATATTTGTTATTATTCCCTTTTATGATCCAGTAGGAGTCAATTTTTCCTTTGTGAAGCTGTACTTGTACTAAGTGTAAAGTCACAATATTCATCACATGAAGGAGTAAGTGAGCTCCGAGATGTTGAATCTGTTGCACGAGGAAGAGGAAAGAAAGGGAAAAGAAGAGTATATAAAACGTTGTGTGTATATCATAACGCCAACCTCAAAAATAGAGTCGACTGCTTCAAGGATTGACAACGATTGATTTATCTGATAACAAACCTTCAAATCCACATGTCTACAAAAATATATTGGAATCTTGATACTGCCTGGTAATTTTTTGACTTAAATAAACAACACCAATGAAATGATAGTTAGAGATAATCTATCCTCACCAATAGATTAATAAACTTTAGAGAGAAATTAACTGCATCACCAATCTAATAAAAATTATTATTTCACTCTCTTTGTAAGGCTCCTTCGTGCTAGCTTCCAATTTCTGAGTTCCACAGGATTTTCCGATCAAATTTGTAGGCTTTTACTTCTTTTAAATGTCAATGGCTAGGCATTCTTTCATGAAAAGTAGACTGACTCAAATTCTTCATATACATCAAACGATCCATGAAACTGTAACCATTTCACTTGTTGATTGCAGGTTAAGTCTCCTCGGATGACAACTCAATAGCAAAGCAGTCACAAGCATTGAAAACTCCTAAAGTGAGGCACTATATATCTATATCTAAAATGACAACTTGGCCTGGGGTATAACAACTGTGTGTGCCCTCTGAACTTATTTTTTTTTGTCAAAATGGATGGAAACTTGAGACCATGAGACCGAGTTTGATAGAAATTTGTTCAACTTACAAAGCCATGCCAAATCTAAATTGTGGCAAAGCAAATCTATTTTTGAGTGCTTTAGCTGTCTTGACTCTATTGCAACTTTCAGCTCAAGAATCATAAATCCCGTATATATTCTAGCGAATACCAAATTTGGAGCATCAATCTTCCTTGTGCCACCTGAATCGTCCTTAATCTTCAAGAGATTTAGGAAATTGAGATGTAGAAATAAGGTGCTCGAGATTCCATCACATGTCCACATTCAGTAACATCCAAATTGTCTGGGGAAGAACTAGAATAATACAAGTGTTCAAGATTGATGCTTTAACACCCTGGTTTCTTGTTGTACATATGAAAACTGACCTGATCTTTTGAAGATTTAGCAGCTCAATCTTTTTCAACCTTCTATAACAATGCTCAAGTGTGAGTTAGTGATTGACCTCCATCACCTGACAAAAAAGTAATAGCATCACAAGAAAAGATCGCGTTGAAGTTGGTTATAAGCGAATTTCGTCCTCTGAATAGATAGCTAAATAATCATTTGGCAAAGGTAGTTCTTAAATGTTCACTTCTTTTCCCTTCTATCTTTGTCTACATTCTTTGTTTCCGGGCAGGGGGTGAAGGACATAAGAGAAGATTTTTCCTATAGGTAAGGAAGAGGCGAAAAAGGAGCATTAGTCACTAAGCCCATGGACGAAGACAATGATATCAGTTCCATTTTTGATGTTGGGAAAGCACCAACTGCTCATAGTGGAATGTCCAGATATATATGCAGCTGCAGGGGCAACTCTTGCTTAGTCACCTCCCTTTGCCCCCTCAGCTAAACTCCCATTGACGATGAAGGCACTTTTAATATGCATGACTTGTTCACAGATCAGATGTTCTGATTTGATGGAGGAGAAGCTGTTAAGTTTGATATTAGTTGCTCACAACCAGATAGGCTGTTAATATTGATACTGCACTTGGTTTTTTGAAGATCTGTTTATCAATTAAATGATCAAAATGGTCCTTAATGTATGGGGTTGGACTATTTTAGTCATTTATATATACCTCGTAATCGAAATATGTGTAGAAAAAGTGACCTTTTTCCTCCCGCCACCACCTTTAATATATCATTTTTTCATATATTAAGGACTATTTTGATATGATATATATGAACTAAAAGGATCACTTTTCTGTACATTAAGGACTATTTCTGTTTAAACTCCCCCT